CAGGCTCAGCATTTTGACAGTAAATTATCCATGACCACTTATGATGTTGGAAGAGACTGTGATGCATTCTGTGTTCTTGGATATGTGTATTTGTTTGTTTGCTTGTTTGTTCAAACCACTCTCTTGAATGTATTTGCATGAGCACAATATCTCTGGTTTATGATGCCGCTACATTCACAGGTTTTCAACATTCGTGTAAACCATCTGTTACTGCATTGTAAAAGAAAATATTCCTCTCTGAAAGCAGATCTTCTCTTCACGGTTTATTCATGTGGCACTCTGACCTTCTGGTGGACGTCTGCCTTTTTTAACTCGCAGAAGGGAAGCTCGCCTGCTGGAATATATTGTTTATGCTCAGCCAGCCTGTTTTCTCAGTATTTGCCGATGGCCTGTTAACTGTGCCTTAAACAGATTAGACTTATTCCTTACTAGGTCCTGTCATTTAACCCTCATTACGCGTAGAAGCCACTGCTATTGTACGCAGTTAAACCGTCGTGCATGCTCCTTAGTTGGCACAACTTTCTCTTTGCGGTTAAAACAACATTGTCGTGTCAGAGGGAACGTGCCGGCGGACTCGTGCTAAGAGATACTCGTTTCTCAGCCAAGATATTGGATGGGTTTCTATGAGTACTTAAAACTAGGTCGATCTTTTTATCGAACTCTGGTTAGGTCATTTACTGCATAGCAAAATTATGTACTTATAAAAGATTTTCATTTAATGCTCTCTACTCTCTAAAAAGGAGTTAAAAACTCATTAGCAGGAAAGCGGCGGATCCCAACGAAGTTTCTTTCTTATCAGAAAATGGAATGAAGAAGTCCTTAACGGTGTTCCGGTAGCTGAGATACGGAAGATCCGTCATCATATCATTGTTCTCTGGTTTACCCTTTGTCATTGTCGAATTATCATTCAAGTCAAGTCTTCAAATTAGATTTTCCTTCAGTTATCTGAAATGTTGACTTTACTGACTTCTAAGGACTGTTTCGAATGACGGAACATTGAACGTTTTGCACTCGCTTAAAACATCATTCATCGGTTATTTTCAGACGTATTTGATGAACTGCATTTGGAAATGCAATCCACAAGTAAACTAATCTTACGTTTATATTCGGTTGATATGGTCGGTTTGTGTTCTCTCTTTTCCAACAGCTGTTTTGCATTTGAAATTTTAGTCGCCTCATTACTCACGTGCCTTCACCAGCTCAAGTCTGAAAATAAAAAGTACGAAGAACATATAGCGTCGTTGGTCACTCGTCGCGACCACTTGTTGGCGGTCAACGCTAGACTGTCCCTTCCACTGAGTTCGCACCAAAACTCGTCGTCGGTTGCTCCTCATATGTCAGTTAGCTTCCCAACTTACCAACAAGGTGATCAGATGGTAGGCGGAGAGCAATTTCGAACGAACATCATCAACCGCTATTGCTCTGATCGTTTCGATGATCCTTCGTTGGTTCCCACCAGCATCCCGCCGATGTCTGGTCATGGCGTCGGTGGTGGTGGTCGCCCGACGGCGTCAAGCACAGTCTTTCCCCCACAGAACATTGCCTCGTCGCGTCCATACCTGGTTCCGGTGAGTATTCTTATATTCGTCCACTTCGGTGGCCTGCACTATGTTATCGGGCTCATTTTAGGCTAGCAACCCTGCTGTGCCTCAAGACGGTTCCGGTGCTGGACGCGGTGCTTTCACGGCTGCGTCTACCGCCACCGCATCAACCGCCATAACGGCGACTACGAGTCCTGTTATTGTTCCGTCGGCCACCACGGCGGCACCTCTGGTCAATGGCCTCAGTGGCTTCGCCAACGTCCGACCTAAAAACATTAGTCCCGACAAGCAGAGCTCGTTTCTTATCCCTAGGACTCCTACGCCGCTTATGTCGAATACTGACCTGGTAAAACCTGCTGCCGCCAATATTCTTTCTTCCCAATTTTCGGTTGCAAACCAGGTACGTGCAACTTTCTGTCATATTTCCTTGCATGGAAACAATGTTGGTGTCGTGCTTACTTAAGTACTTGGAAGCTACAGATGCAATTGTAATTGTCAGCTTGCAGCTAAGATGTTAGGTTGCTCTAAAATGAATTTTTTCTGCTTTTCTTTCATTTTTGTTTCTTGTTGTACCCTTGATAATCAGTATAATATCAGTCTACCAGTATATATCACTTGGCGTCGTACGGTATGGTACCGGTAGCGCTTTAAATTAATATCGTTTTTCGTTCCGAATCGTTGATCTTTTATACTGGCCGCATTATCGTCTAAGCCTTCGTCTAGAGGAGGCAGTGCATAGAGTTCTGTTTATTGATAACCCGATGAAAACTACTGGTTTGGACTGGGCTGCGAATAAATCATATCCTCTACGGGCGTTAGCAGATAACTTCTCAGAACTGTAAGATCTGGATAAAAGAAAGTTTTCTTCGTGATTTGGCAATTTGTTCAAATTCATATTTATGGTAATACCATTGTCTGTGCAAATCACTGCTTCAGGTGTTTATCCGCTTCATCTTCTCCACTTTAGACAGTTTACTGCGTTTCTGGTTTCATCTTGAACCTATCGCTTCACTGTGTACCGTTGCGGTTTCTGCTTGTTTTTTTAGTACAATTCTTTCACGGTGCCTACTCGGTGTTGTTGTTTAACCTCTTGCTTTATTTATTCTACACTAGCGTATGACTGGCATCCTCCGCTCAAGCGGTCATGATTTCTTCAGCGACTAAAACGAACATTGACCCCAATCCTTCGGTGTAGGTTGCTAGCAGTGGTCTTTTTTTCGACAGTTAGTCTAGATGTATAGCGTCGTCTTTCATTGTTCCATAGCGCATTGATGGTTCTAGGGCATATGACATGTTTTGGAGCTTTCTATAAGTCACTTCACTACCGAATGCTTCTCTAGCCGGACTGCATTAAATTTTGTTGGAAGTCATGTTAGTGCTATGATTACCGAAGTATGCCTTTTGATCTGTAGTCGGTTGTTATACCTGTGACTGCTAAATGCCATTGATATCACGGCAGGCTCTTGTCCTACGTATAGAAATAGGTCATTATGCTAAATAATTGTCTGTAATGTGTTTGTGTTTTCATCTGACTGTTTTAGGACGTGCATCATTCGCAAGTGCTGTATCAGTTGATGGCACAGCAACAGGCGGTAGCTGCGGTGTACGGAAATGCGTTCCCGAGCTTCATGCCCACCACGTCACCGCACATCAGCAACACAACGTCCATGATGCCACCGAATCAGTCAATGTTGCACGCGCCGTATTCATCGCATACCAAGAACCAGTCCTTGAATCCTTGAGCAAACCAGTCGTTGAAGGAAGGAAAAGATAATGCGGCATCTTCATCGACGCTGTCGGCGATGATACAACGCTCGATCGGTCGGTCGACTATCCTATGCTGTTTGTATCAAAGCGCTGGTGCTATAACAGTTGCTGTGTCCTTAATCAAAAGTTAAATTAAAATTGTATAGCCTGTTATTACGTAAAATAAATTCCTACTTGTTTGTTCTGGACAGTTGATGCGCTTTCGACAAAGTCTGTTCCTTTGTTTAGTTTCGATGTACTTCCAGACAGTGAACGATTACTGCTTATCTTTCTTTGTACTTTATGGATTTCTCACGTTCTTTTTAATTGCTATTTATGTGTCGCTGTTTGATTTTTACTGTTTTTTTTTACATAAACCACTTCAAACTGGTCTGTTAGTGGTAACTGTTCTGTTTTTCATGCCGCAGTGTACAACTTGCTCGCCGTACCATAAAAGTAGTATGAACGAGGTTTGTGGAAGGACACTGACACAGTATGTACGAAATCGATTGCGCAGAATACACGCACTGTGTTTTGATGTGGTAGTGTTCTTTTACGGCTGTTGTCCGATGTATGTACTTGACCGCTGCAATTTGCTCTGATTCGCCTGACAGCTGTCTAACAAAGAGCATTGGGTGTAAATCGGTAAATTTATGAAACACGATCTCATAAGACCAAATTAGTATTGTGATTTTAACAATTGTTGATAATGCGATGCTGGATAAAGCCTATATTTGCAACGAAAATGATGGAGCTTATTTTTTCGAGCTTTGAGCGTGAAATAGCAATTTTTTATCCTTTATTGAACGGTATTTGTGGAAGGAGAAGATCTGACTACTTCCTTGTTCCGCTAAATACAGTCTCCATACGTTTAAAAACTGCCGCAGATAATCGTCATTACTGTCTTCAGGTAGTAGATAGACGCTCGCCCATTTGTGGAAGTTAAATCGTTGCTGTCCTAAATGATGGACAGCGTACATAATTCAACGTGTTTCTTTCGTCGAACGTAGTAGATTGTCGCGTTGCCCATGGTTGGTCAGGAGAAATCTATGGTTCGCTTGATGGCTTAAAGGCTCCCATATGTCATGTGTACTCTTGACCTGCATTTGTACTGCCAGTCACGGTCTCACCCATTTGATACTATCGCCGTGTGCGTACGGTGCGCTGACGTGTTGCATTCTAGGCTTCAATATGATTTAGATGTAATTTATTGCATTTCTTCGTGAACTGAAGAGGTGCTGAACTGGGTGAGCGACAGCGGCCAAACACTTAATGTAAGTAAATCTGGTATGGATCATAAATTACATCATGCAACACGCATAACCAGAGCCTGTACGTGACTTGCTTCTTTGATTGCACGATTGACAAATATATTTACAGTAAAGTACCTGGAGTTGATTGTGAATGAGACCCTTGGCAAAGAATAGATAGTGGAAATTAACTGAATTTGTTGTGAAATGAATCCGTTGTATTTGCTAAACGCTTCACTCAAATTTTTCTTGCAATACGTCTGACCTTGATTTTCTGTCTGCTACTAGCCTTCGCTGAATTTTAATACACTTAATATTTTATTAAGCAGCAATAAAGTAATCTTTATTAAGAATATTTCTGTACACTGGAGCTATAAGTTATCACGCAACTGAGGGAAGTACTAAATAGGGAAAACGTGGAACACCATTATTCAGACAATAAAGGTCGCTCTGTCAAGCTGAAAAAGACCCTCCATCCCCGATGAGCATGAGTGATATTTTAAAACGAAGCATCGCGAAAGAACAAAACTTACCCGAATTAAGTAAAAATTATATACGGAAAGGCTTCCAGAATCGTGCAGCATGCAACATCATCTCCATACGTCGAAGTACACCTAACAGGCGCATCAACGAGACAGTCATGTATATCGTGGCAGACATTCTCCAACTTCTGTAAGTACACTTCCACGAATTCGATATCGATATGAATTTCCGTAGGTTCATATTCGTTATTCATATGAAAAACTGCGTCAGCATTAGCACAATTTCATCCAGCTGATTTACGCATCATATCACTGTCCAGTCACTCCCACCTAAAGGCAGGAGAAGTCTTTCGTACAGAGCATCGATTGGTTATGTTCGTCATCGTATTTCGATACTTTACATCCAGCAGCAGTAGATATACAGTGGTAGCACCTGTTCAAGATGAGTGAAAGTACCTACTGAAACAAATACCAGTGCTATACTACAACAACATTGCCACACTGATTATTCTTGACGTTGACGTATAATTCGTCGTCACAAGCTTCCATATCTTTCTATTACCTCATGTCTCAACTCAGCTGAGGTCCTTCAAATAATCACTTGCGCTCCTTCGGTTACAAATTCGTCACTCACTGCTGAAGTCCATCTGTCACCCATTATAAACGTGCGATGTGATCCGATTTGAGCTACATGCAGGGGACTGAGGGCCATATTTGTTAGTACTTTCCATTTTACTCGATATTGGCAAATTCTTCTGACCACTGTCCACGCTTGCCAGACGTCTTCGACACAAAAGTCTTTCACCTCCCTTTGAATTCAATTCCAGGTGATCGTTCTGTGAGGATAGAGCCATTTAAATTTTCCTCGATGGGGCTCTGGCACAGCCTTCCTTACTCCGGCGGTTTCTCCTCAGCGCCATAGAGCGGTGCCTCATCTCACTGAGGACGTGCTTTACTACTCTGAAAATCAACTACTTTTCCAAGGTACTTCTCATCTTAATAGTTCGATGAGTTGCAAGCACATAAGTACAGGCAATAGGTTCACTATTTAATGAACGGCTGAGAACAGGTAAACAACATAGCAACTTTTTGTGCAAGTTTTGGACCCAGGTTACGATTATGGGTGCCAGATTTCAGGTACATTAACAACTTTGACTTGTTAGCGCTGTTTGAACAAGACTCGAACGCTTCGACAAGACTGGCGACCGTCGGATACGAGTCGATGACAGCTGAGGCTTTATCGACGGAGAGGCCTCTGATCTGCAGCAACATTCGGGCGAACGTTTCCTTGACCGTCAGCGGGTGGAGCTTTTTCGACAGCGCTACGAACGACTGGAACGAATACAATGTCGTCGGGGGACGATAAGGACTGTTCATGTTTTCCTACAAACCAACCGATTTAAGAAGAGAGAGGTTGAACTCGGTTGAAAAGGCCGCAGAACGGAGGTAAAACTTCACTCACCTTCACCGCAGAACTATCCTCTTCATTATTCCGTTTCATAAGCGATTTGTTCGCGTAAGTTTCACTCAATATGTTCGTCAATGTTTTCAAATACAAAACCGTCTCATTGACGTTGGTTGTCCTCACCACTTCGAATCCTTCAATTACCTACAAAACGGTATTTAACAAAATAATTACGAACAACATACAGTAACTAGGCTTAGACAATTTATTGAATTACTCGTCTCTACTGCTATGATTGCAGCTTTTTTGTGCTGTTACACAAACATCACACCAATATTTAAAACTCGGACGGATGAAAGGTCTTTCATTTACGTCTAGAAGCGCTTCATAACGAGGTCATGGATACATGCACAAAAAACATCGGGCGATACGTCACGCCGTGACCTCAAATTTTTATATATCGGAACATTTCTAATCCCTGCCATTAGCCTAAGGAAGTCTTTTCTTCCCAGTACTTCAAAAAACCGGCTGAAGCCGTAAACAGGGCTATACGTCTAATAGTAATCTGTGACACCATATACATGAATAAGACCTATAGATTCAACCTGAAGTTCTTCGATACGAAGCCATCTTCTACAACGCAACTGTTTTGTAACTGATAGGGAGACTGTGTACGACTGAGGCGGTTACCAAAGGTTACCGAGAAACTACTGAACCAACAGCATGGGATAGAAACACACCTTTCGCTCAAAACTTCATAACAGCTGCGGACCACAAAACTAACTGCAAAAATCAACCCGGACCACTCCGAAGAAAGCCCATGAGAGACGAGCGTTGGTACTGGTCAATCATCCAATTGACCACTTTACTTAGGATGGTACACATACATCGATTTTTATGCACCTTTCAGTTTA